TCTCATTCTGTCGTCTCGAATAGCACACACTCCAAATTATAGAGCGTGCATGAGTGCCTGAGGGCTATTAGAGGATAAATGAAATACTTGTTTGTACAACAAAATTTAATCTAACGCTTATTTCCCTGGAGTTTACTTTCGAACATTCTACGTTTGTTCTCTATTCTTATAGTATTTAAACTCCCTGTGGAGCGCTTCATGTTTCAATACGAGCGTAATAGGCAAGCAAGGCATGCCGCTACCAGGCGGTACTATTTAGTGACTGTTATGTTATTGTAGAAAGAAATTAACCTAATAAATATTTTTTTTTCATGCAATGTAATAAAGCTTATTGCATGTTGATGTGATTTCATAGTCACAGTGCATGACGTAGTTTTAGTTCGTTTCCTATGTGGAGTTTTATTTTGATCTTGGTCTGTAGACTCAGCATTTCACTTTCTAAGGTCAATACTTTTAATGCGGCATTTTACTTGAAATTTCATTCAACTCTATGTAAACTTCTATTTCTATGCGTAACAAGAAGCATGATAAAATTACCAACTGTATTCCTTTCTAATTCTATAAAGTAACCCACGTTCTTATTAACCAGTTCGCTGCGGAAGGTAAGTGCATGGGTGAGTTAAACACAGCCTATGCATACTCATACTGCTATTTCACACGCTTGCAAAGCCGCTTAAGCCCCACAGAATTAAAAAAAAAGTCGAGGATTTTATGTAGAAAAAATATACACCCATTTAGTTAGATTAATTTACTAGATTTGTATTTTATTTTATCATACGGCAAACGCTTGGGACAATTTAGGATAACATTTCACAACGTTTTGGTCTTCATACTAGCTTAACCTTCATTCATAAGATAGTTTCTGTCCATACGAACCTACTTGAGACATTTATACTAGCTTAACCTTCATTCATAAGCTAGTTTCTGTCCATACGAACCTACTTGAGACATTTATACTAGCTTAATCTTCATTCATAGAACTTTTATACTTAAAGTAAAGAAAAATATTCCTTAAGTTATAGTAACCAGTTTAATATTCAATACATTAATGAATGCATTCGTCTACAAGTTTCGGCGTTCTAGAAATTGCATCCGTTTACATAAAGTTTTTTGTTTTACTAAATGGAATGTTTACAGTAAATTGAAGCATTATGATATTAGAGAAGTTTAAAAAGTTTCAGTACTTCAATACTTATCACGCATCACAGATTTATTATCAATCGGGTTTTCGATATATTCGAAATTAGAATTAATTACCAAATACTCTCCTTCATGTTCCGATTAGAAAGTAAAGTTCAAGTTGAGATTTTTAAACGAACTTACAGCAATGTTAACAATGTTCTGAAAATGACTCTCTCAAGCTGTGGGTGCTGCTAGACCGATTGTGCAGGTTGCCAACTGAAATGTTAGGCACTTGAGTAAAATGGCAGTTGGGGGAACAGATTAAGATTTGAGATATTATGTGTATAGGTAGTTCATTAGCACACCCCAAGATTAAAGTAACAAATTCAAAATAAAACGAAAATCGAATTATAAACACTCAAACTGAATTCCCACTTTAACTTAATTTCAAATTCACTCATACATTTATAAACTATTTAAACCTTTTTTACAGATCTTTTTTTCGTTTCTTTGAATGATGTTAAAAGCTCATTTTCTCCAACATCTATTTTCCACAAACTATCTTTCAAAGATCAGCGTAATCTCGGCCTTTTCCTTTTCAACTATTCAATATTTATGCAAATCCTCAGTGGGAGCGTAATCGATTATTCTTGAAAACCTTTTAAGAGAGTTTTACCACACGCATGTCATGAGTGGTAATTTGATATTTCGAAAATCTAGAAGGAATTTACTATACCGTGGAACTGCGTTTCTGTTTAATGAATTCGAGAACAGTCGGCTGACTGCACATTCTGTTGAAAACCTAAACATTCTTAATAGCAAAGTTGGAAATTGGTAATGCAACATGAAGCAAGCTGGAATTGAGTTAAATCTATCAAACTGATCTTCTATGTTCAACATTTGTTTTGTACGTGAAGAACTCTTAATTATTGAAAATAGCACAAAAAGAATATTCGGAAGTACAACACAACTCTTTTGTATAATACTATAGCCAAGCCACTCTTTTGTATAATACTCTCAGACTGTTTCTGCGCTGCAATATAACAGAAATCTAAACAATGATACAAACTGTAAAAAAAACCATTACGTTTTCTTGTTTTTATAAAACATGTTGTACGTAATTGTAAGTTTTGCAAGATATAATCACGTGCACGAGATTTAATTCAATAACTAAATGTCTGGTGTCTACAGTGGAATTTTTATAACTTGGGATGATTAATCCATTAAGATTTGGACTACCATGAAATTTGTTCTAACATTAAGTACTTCAATACTCGTTGGATATAAGGCAAAAACTATACTGAAACTCCAGTACACTTAAGATTAATATTTCCCACTTACTTACGATACTTAAGCCTGTCATGAACCGGACTGATGGCTACTTTTGTATACGTATATGCTCAGTTATGACTAAGTGCTTATGGAGTACGAGATAAAATATTGAAATTGATTTTTATTAGTGTAATAATATTGCTAAATTTGAGTTAATCGAAATGACCTAATACGATTTTCATGCTGTTTCACCATTTACAATATTGTCATAATAATACTCAAAACTTAACTTTTTGATATTTTCAAAACTAATCATTTTGTTTTCTGTTTATATATATATATATATATACATATAATGTACGTCTTTATGATCAAACCATTGTACAGAATTAGTGCAGTATAACAGTTGACACGTTGCAGTAAGATATATCAATAAACACATACATTTAATCTTCATACATCCTCGGATGTGTGCGAGATGTCTTGTAATGTCTGAAGCTAATAAGAGAAATAAGAAATAAATAAAACACAAGGGGGGGGGGATATAGTATGGATTGACCTTCCACGTCTGTCCCTTGTGCCGTCTTCTGATGAACCTCGATGTTTTTCGCCTTAGGAAAAGGAACATCAACTCGACTTAGTTTAATGAAATAACGAGATTAGGGGAATGTTTTCAGCCTCACTCTTAGTGAATTTCGCCTCAAGAGGATGAAGGCGAAATGGGACTGTCTTGAAGCATGTCGGTAAGTGACACTTGACGGGTACACACGAGTCTTGAACGCGACATACGACGGATTGAACCACATGGTCACCACCTCCCTCGATGTTCTTAACACACTTCTTCCCTCCCACGAAGTTAACGATCAGGATTCTCCATTATCGACGACCTTCTCAAATTGGATTTGTTTATAAAGATGCCAGGATCGATTTACTACCAGCCAGTTCTAGGCTGAAGGTACAATTAAGATTTATGGAGTGAAAGATCTCGTAACCAAGACAACGCTTAAATTATGCATTGTCAACTGACACCTAAGGGGCACAGATGAATCGGCTCAGTATTAAAATCGAGATAATGTGCTCAAAAATAAAGTACTAGTTTTATTGCTTAAACTTAATAAGTGCAATCCATTGAAAGTTCTATGAAGTATTATTTGTGAAAGGGTAGTTATGATGCATCTTGGTTTTGCTTATAAATCAAGCAGTTGATTTCGTAGACGTCGCACATAATAATGTCATATAAGTATTGTACAACATACTATCTCTATCATACCTGATTAGCATCAGCTTCTATAAATTCCGTAATTCAGATTAATTATTGGCTTAGAAAAATGGCTGAATTCTAGTTACCTAAGCCTAAAAATGACTCCAACTACTTATACAGATTCATTGGAGATCTATGTGTGAAGATATTTTGAGTAAAATGCCAACGATTGAAACTAGCAGTGAACATGTGGAAATGGGTGTCTAATACCGTTTCGGAATGACTCTGAACGATGCTTGCTCCAAGAATAAACTTCATGGCTTAGAATGACTCTCCGATGGAATTGAAGTGTGATTAAAAAAGTCAAAATTTTATCAAATTACTGGAAGCAAGGATCCAGTTAATCAGTGTAATCAAACATAGAGATAAAACTGTTCGAATCAAATGGTTATTTTATTTTTAACCTGTCTAGAGAGTTCACTTCCTGAAGATTAACACTGAAATAAGAAAAACGCAAGTGAACAGTGAGAATATGGTATAATCATTCTTGAACCTGCATAATAATGATTTCTGCCTGAAATGAAACAATGTTCCCTTTATGTTATTAATACACTTCTTCTATCTAAAATGTTAAACTATGTGTCTTAGCCTGCTTTGTTTTATTATTTCCAAACAGGGATACAGCTTAACAGAATAATCTAAAGGGTTTGTTTTGGTTTGAATTGCGCGCAAAGCCATATGAGAGCTATCTGCACTAGCCGTTCGTAATTTAGTAGTGATAGACTAGAGGGAAGGCAGCTAGTCAACACTACCTATCACCAACACTTTTACCAAGGAATAGTGGGATTGACCGTCACATTATAACGCCCCCCACGGCTGAAAGGGCGAGCATGTTTGGTGGACGGAAATTCGAACCCCGCAGATTGCGAGTCGAGCGCCCTAACCACCTAGAAGAATCTAACATAAAAATCAGCTTATTTGGTTACACATACAGCCTTTTATTTACAATTACAACGGGATAGTCATACATTTATAAAACACGACTAGAATAACATAAACACGTTGTATTTATACAAGTTGAAATATATACATGTATTCTGAAAACATGAAATAACGAACAATTTACTTAAGTGTAGAAAATTACTGTAATTTAAGACTACAACATAACCTACGTTTTCTCACGTGCTGTTATGTTTAAATATCATCTTATAAATGCATTTAAACTGATATTGAGAAGTCAAATGGAAATAATTATATGTACACATTTAATATTATAACGCGTGTCTTATGACGTTAATTTATTAAATGTAAAGTTAATGCTCATTTAGGACTGTAATGAAGGATTTTTTAATAATAAGAAAATAGATAAACATTTGTTTCATGTGGTCTTATTTCTCTTTCTTATAACAGATATTTTATACCGAAATCCATATCACATTTAATATGGAAATATTAATATTAAGTAAACATGTTTGACTTTCCAGAGACCTCGCCAAGTGGAAGCAAGACATTGAACTTACTGTGGCCACGTGGGTGGTAACGACATCCATTTCTCTACATTTATTCATTAATCTGATAATAAGCAAATGAGAGTGATGGAAGTGAAAAGCACCAGAATATTTTTTGAACTTTTCTTCTCTTGCCTCGAGGACTGTTGAGTAACAGTATTTCTTTTACACGATAAACAGTCCTGATAGACACCGATTGGTTACAAGATATTCTGGTAATCATTAGGAGTTTTACATCGCAACAAGTAGCATAATTTATAGATTTAAAGGGTGGAAATAATAGCCAAATATATAAACCGTGGTCATCACAACATTTGAAAGACTTTGCCCATTTTAATTCGTGTAATATATATATATATATATAGAATATTCCGCATTCTCACTTAGGCCTCCCACCCAATGAATACATAGATAATGTTCAACAGTATTGTGTATTTCCTACGGTTATTTTTTGATGCAGCTTCCTCCAAATTTGGGAACTCTTGCAATACATAATGTTTGAAATATTTATTGATGTCCTAGTCCTATTGATACTGCATATAATAACTTCCGATCAGAGTAAGTTATGTACTTAGAGAGAAACTAAAAATCAACCTGGCCATAAGTATAGCTAATATGTTTCTTCATATTGATATTAGAGTGAATTGCTTCATCAGATGAGTACCATTGCTGTTAACAATATTTTCGGTCATAATCCCAACAGTATCTCACGAGCTTCGACCAGCTTAGGAGATGCAGGTTAGTCCTAAATATATATGGTATGCAAACAGTGTTAAACAATCCTCACGATAAAAGTATAACAATAAACAATAAAATCAAAAGAAAAAATAATGAAATTCGGTATACTAAAGTGTATGACAGAAGTAAGTCTAAGAAGGGAAGAACGGCGTCCCCAAACATTCCGAGTTCGTTTTCAAAATAATCATTAGAGTTATGAAGTGCACATTAACCATAGTCCCAGACAATTCTACGTAAAATAAAAATGTGAAAGCAGTAATAAACACGGTTAAAACATTAAAAGTGACAATTATTCAGGTAGAATCTATCTACGAAGACTGAATCGCTACTACCATATTTTATGCCCTCTAAATAATATTGACATATAGATGTATGTAGAAAAAGAATAATGATAAATCGTACTGAAGATATTAAATTACTGAGAGCAGTGCTAAAGCACGAGACGAAAGAGTAGCTTCATAAAAATTTAACAATATATGAATATTGAAAAACAAAACTAACAAATATAATTAAAATGTTTTAACATTTTATATTAAGATATGTAAAACACAATATCTTTACATGGTTTATTAGCAATCTGGTCATAATTTTATTTTGTAGTTTACTCTGTTTAGGTGCTGTTTGCTAAATCTTGATATACAAGCAAATGAGTAATTCAACTGTTAAACAATAAAATAATGCAACTTGTAAGCTTTCTTAACATCAATTCTAAAAAGTAGTTAACTCATTATGATTACCTTAATTCGGTTAGCTTATTTGAAATTCTGTTCTTAACGATCGTTCTAAAAGAAACGTTGCTGAATAACAACAACGCCGATCAAAATCAATATTGCACATTTTTGGGATTTTCTTGTAACTAATTATACTTTGAGAGTATCTAAATTCTTCAAAGATACCACTACAAATGTTAATCGGGACTGATCGTTTCGGCATACAGTTTTAAACGCATCACTACGTCATATCACTATCACCTCGCTTCAACAAGGCCACGGTTGTTCTTGCTGTCCAAATGTTCAGGGTCACGATTTCGGGGATCTGTAGCACAGCATACGTCACCTGTTTCGTGTCACTTCGCCTCACCGCAGACTGGGTCTGTACTTCCATAGCCACTACAGCCTCCTTCCTCTGATCGGTTCAGCCCGATCCTCGCTGCTTGGCGTTTCATCTGGGTAATGCTGTCATATGACATGTTGGCAAACAGCATCCTTTCTTCGTAATCATATTCACAAAGTATCTTGTTTTCATGCAGGTAGAATCTGTCCCCCACGCAAAACCTGGATACAGGAAAAAAATCAAGATTGACAACTCTCTATAGTAACACATGGTTAACAATTTACATAGCCCCCCCCCCCAGTGGCACAGCGGCATGTCTGTGGGCTTACAACGCTAGAAACCGGGTTTCGATACTTTTGATGGGCAGAGCACAGATAGCCCTTTGTGTAGCTTTGTACTTAACCACAAACAAACATTATTATTATTAATAGAATATTTTGAACCCGCGCATAATACGAAACCAGATGTCGAAATCCTTAACAGAATGACAAACTAACAGTTAGTTTGAAACCGGCAGATTCAGAGGAAGATAGAAATGTCTGCCAATAAGTGTAGAAAAACAATGGGTTTATCGATGAGAGAAGAAATAGGTGAGCAATAAAATCACAAGATCTTTATTATAAAGAAAGCAAATCAAAATTAAGGCAGGTTGGACATTGATATCAATAACCGAAAGACGAAATCAACTTGATTAAGTGAAAATAAAGTCATAGATAAATAACAGCTGAGCTTTACAAATAAAAAATACACAGACGATCTGAACCACGCCGGTTGACTGGCGCTAAACACGAAGACAAAGAAACTCAACATGAACACAACTTGACTGGTTGGAAGCCGGAAACAACACTAACTAGAGATTACGCAAAGTCCATCCATTAGACAAAACTACTGGTCCATTCAATGTTCATGCACTGCCTGATACGATTATTGAGACAACATCTAACTAGAGATTACGCAAAGTCCATCCATTAGGCAAAACTACTGGTCAATTCAATGTTCATGCACTGCCTGATACGATTATTGAGACAACATCTAACTAGAGATTACGCAAAGTCCATCCACTAGGCAAAACTACTGGTCCATTCAATGTTCATGCACTGCCTGATACGATTATTGAGACAACATCTAACTAGAGATTACGCAAAGTCCATCCATTAGGCAAAACTACTGGTCCATTCAATGTTCATGCACTGCCTGATACGATTATTGAGACAACATCTAACTGCTCTCGCAATAGCAGTCACAACCCTAACAAAGCTATTTTCATTCTTATAAAAAAGGGGGATCTATTTTCATGGTTAACTCACAAACGGAAAATGTTATTTATATACACGTAAGCATCAATAGAAACACTTGGTTTTAAATACATCTTTATGAAAAGAGTGTTTTATTAAAATCCTCCCCTCAAAGACAAAAAAAAATGCCTAGCTGAGATCTCTAATTAGTTATTTTGGAAGGAGCGACTTCATCACTTTGTGAATCCTTTAAACTCTACTAACAGTTGACTGGCAGACTGCAGGAATTTTAAGGAACGTTTCTTATAGCTATTAATATAATCGATTCCTTATTTTTTTTCTAGTATACGTACCAATAGATGCGATTAATTTTGTTAAAACATATTTTAAAATAAATGATTAGAGATTAATTTATAAATATTATTTTGACTCTTTTGAAAATCGTTTCTTTTCGTCCCTTGATATCGAGTAATAAAAATATATTGATTTCAAAAGAAAAACCAAGAATTTCCTAAAGTACGTAACTCTAAAACTTGTAGCATCGTGCGCCAGTCTTCTGACACTTCAAGCATCGTGACATTGACGTACGCATAGGAAAGTAACGCAGTCAAATATTACATTATTCAGGGTAATGAAACATATAGGAAGTTCCAATTATTAACGGGATTAATTGTAATATTGGCGGTATTTTTGTGTGCATTTCTTTGTGACATATTTTATTATGAACCCTGTAACCAACAGAGTCATTTATTCACAAGCAACTTGATACAAAAGTAAGTTAGAAAAATGTTTAAAAATTTGATTATTCATGGATACCATCGATAATCTGAATGTTTGACTTCGTGCGTGTTTCGATATAAAAAAAGAAAAACACGAACAGCTTTCCATAAATACTGCTCCAGAGCTATATAAACTATTCTAGCTGTTTTAACTAATAAGCAAAATGTCGTGTACATTAAGATCGGTTGTTTGTTGGATTTCGTGTAATGATACAGACGGACTACCTGTGCACAACCATCAGTATTTTTGAAGTGACCAGAAGAAAGGTAGCTAACACCACCCACCGCTAATTTAGACCGAATAACGGGATTTAAATGTCAATAATATAACGCATATATGGCGCCAAAGTGCAAAGAGCGATTTAATTTAATTTTCTTTTTGAGGTGACAAACCTTGGAACCTCGGATCCACAGTCTCGCACGTTAACCACTGACCCAATCTAACTTACTATTCAGAAGTGGAATTCCGGTTTAAGTAAGCGATAGATGATTGATCTAAGGATATACTGGACGGTCATGAGGTCGAACATGCTCGTTCTGTCTCGTTGCCGTCTGAGTCGGCCACCAGAGTGTAAAAAATCTGCCGAATAATTCAGAATAAATGAGTAGCATCAGTACTAGATATTCCTCAAAACCTATATAAGTATCTATTCACTGTGGCGAGTAAAATATAATTAAAAGCGCTATGCATAATATAGAGCTCACCACTATAAGAAGCCTAGTTTTGTTGTATCAGGGTTACTGAAGAGGGGTAAAATTTCCCGAAAACCAGTCTAAATCGGTGATAAATAGCCAATTGAGTGACAGAAATAGCCTCATGGTTTCTGTGGGTTGTTTTATATTTCTACGAAACGCGTACTTTATCAAACAATTATTAAATCTCTACGAATTAATATAGCCTAACAAAATGACACATTTTGTGTATTTCCATGAAATGTTTGTAAGAGTAGAAAGATGTGTTTTGCATGTCAAGTGGGTTTCGGTCACGTCATTGGCTAATTTTGTATGTCAAGTGAGTTTCAGTCACGTCATTGGCTAATTTTGACTGCATAATACGAGAAACTTCAGTACTAAATAAAGATAAAAGAGCTTGTCCGAAGTACTTTATTTTAACTGTAGGTGGTGCTCATGATGTAACGAGTAATTCGGACGATAACGGTAAAATGTCACAATTACAGAACACATAATGTGGATATCACTAAACAGTAACTCAGCATTTTCTGTTAGCTGTGTTACCAGACGTTTCTAAATCTTGATGTATGTCTAGGAGGTCAAAGGTTCAATAAACTCTCCTCTTTTACATGTATATGAAATCAATCGATGCAGTATGACTATCTCACACTCGTATTATGAGTGAAGTGAAAGTCTTAGCTTCATTAGTCAGCGAAACTTGGACTCGTGTAATGTCAAAAAATTTACACGTGGAAAGGTTAAAAGAAGAAGCTAATTCGTAATTGAAAACTTGGCAAATTAAGACTCTCTATAAAGCTGGGAACTCGTGATTTAGTCAGGGTGGAAGAAAGGTAGCCTTTAGTGTGGATAATCTGGAGAATGTCCGTGATTAAGACGAAAGAAAGTCTGAATAATACACGTACATAATTGACGATTTTGGCTTTCCTTAGAAAACTCGCGATTTATGCTCTCTAAAAAGCTGAAAATTTACGATTTAGCCAGTCTGGAAGGAAGATGGCTCAAGATTTAAGCTGCTAGGAAGAATGGAAATTCGTGACTTATTCACTCAGAGAGAAAGAAACCTATGACACAGGTAGTCTGGAAAGATAGATAAACTGTATCACAGGCAGTCTGGAAAGATATATAAGCTGTATCACAGGCAGTCTGGAAGAAAGATGACAGATATCACAGGCAGTCTGGAAAGATATATAAACTGTATCACAGGCAGTCTGGAAGAAAGATGACAGGTATCACGGGTAGTCTGGAAAGATAGATAAACTGTATCAAAGACAGTCTGGAAAGATATATAAACTGTATCACAGGCAGTCTGGAAGAAAGATGACAGGTATCACGGGTAGTCTGGAAAGATAGATAAACTGTATCAAAGACAGTCTGGAAAGAAGCTAACCCATAATTTAAACATTCTGTAAGAATGTTTATTGTAATTGGCTCTTTTGGAAGTTTGGTTTGAATTTCGCGCAAAGCTACACGAGGGCTATCTGCGCTAGCCGTCCCTAATTTAGCAGTGAAAAACTAGTGTGAAGATAGCTAGTCATTACCACCAACTCTTGGGCTACTCTTTTTACCAACGAATAGAGGGATTGAATTTCACATCATAACGCCCTCACGGCTGAAAGAGCGAACATGCTTGGTGGGACAAGGATTCGAACCATCGACCCTCAGATTGCGAGTCGAGCGCCCTAACCATCTGGCCAAGAATAAACGTAGTCATTTTATAAATCTTTTCAGCATCATTTAAAATACAACAAGAGAATAAAAATTTATAACTTGATTGACAGACTCCGTAAATTGAAGCAAGTGGAAAAATTGATCTAATATTACTTTGTGCAGATTCAATAGAAATGATTGGAATAATAAGGTAATGTAATTTGTTAGATAATATTTGAACTATCTATTCGATGAAACTGTATGAAACGATTACCTCAAAGCTTACATGAATATAGACATTATACATTAACTTCTGTCCATACCTGGCAAGACCATAGAATAAATACCCCCCTCCTCTTCCGTCTCTTATTCTTGTTAGATCAATGTCAACTGATGATGAAAAGAACTCAATCAAACTTGCCTGGAGCATCGGAGCTGAATTTAATCATGATGAAGTCAACTTCTGAGAACAAATTAAAACCCCACCCTTCGCTGATTGATTCGATAAAAGAGCACGTGAGCTAACTCGGTGACAAACCACATTCAGCTGGCCAGTCGCCCACCCTGAGTAAACAGACAATTACAGAAAGGAGAGACCACTAGAAGGCTGCAAACACAGGATGCAATTTGCGCACTGGCTCAGGTTAATCGTCTATTTTTCTCTGGGGATGTCGTCGAAAGCGTGCCGCACGGAGAGACAGCGTTGGACTATCATCAATTGAATTGGGCTTGATAGGCAAGCTAATTAGACTTAGCCGTGCCCTTGATTGGAGCCTGATTGTTCCCGTGTAGGTAAAAATTCTGTTCCTATCTCATATACTGCCTGGCACATCAAGCCAGGTGATTACAGCGATCATCAAGTCGTTA